CCACCCCACCCTACTCCTAGAGACAGAAAAGAAAAATCCTCCCATCTTGATAAGCTCATTTCCCACCCCCTTTAGGAAGCTAACCAATAGGAAGCAACACAACAAGCGAGTAGTGTCGGAGGAAGCCCGCGGCTCCGGCTGCATTAGCAGGAGCAGCCACCTTCGCTGGCTGGGGGCTCCTGGGGCTTGTCCAGCTTGATGTCGATCACTGCAGGGGGCTGGGCTAAGGAAGACGTCCCTCACAGAGAAGCTGCCACCCTGCCTCAGGCCCCTGCTGCCCTCAAGCACCCAGACTGCTTGGCCTGGGGAGGGAGAATGCAGGGTCCCCAGCTCCCATCCCTCCCAACCCAGGCCTCAGCCCCACCCCACAGTGCCCTGGAGGTGGAGAGTCTGAAGGCCAGGTATCGATCCCACATCTCAAAGCAAAGGGCTCCATGGGCCTTGCCCTAGTTTGCCACAGCAATATGGACCCCTCAAGCTCTAGTCTGTGCGTGTCACTTAGACTCTGAGGATGCCACTGTGAGAAGCCACATCCCAGCAAAAGGGCCTCAGGGCAGCCTCCTCTCCAGCCTTTCCATTGGTGCAGAGGGGACTGTTAGGCTGGAGAAACACCATTCAGAACTAGGGGAGCAGTGGGTTCGACCTGCACAGACAGGCTGTTCCCTCCACCCTCAGCAGGCTGAAAACCATCATGCCAGGCCCCATCACAACTGAGGACAGGCCCTCCACACAGCATAGAATGACTTTTCCTGGGCCGCGCTCTGGGGCCCCGCTATGGCACTGCACTGGGGTTGGGAGAGGGGTTGGAGGTAGAAGGCCTGCTATGGGAGCTGTTGCTGGCATCCGAGGGGTGTTTCTGAGGCCCTTATTTGAGGACTATGGTAGAGATTCTTTTAGCGTTAAGCACAGTCAGCCCTACGTACTCATGGGCTCTGCATCTGTGGATTCAACCAATCGTGGGTCAAAAAAATTTGGAAAAAAAATGTTACATTGTGGCTGACGTGTGTAGTTAAATCTACAACAGTTCCATCTGTATTGAACATGTACATTATTTTTTTTATTGTTCCCTAAACACTACAGTTAACAACTATTTGCATAGCACTTACATTGTATTAGGTATTGTAAGTAATCTAGGGGTGATTTAAAGTATATGGGAGGGTGTGCATAGTTTATATGCAAATACTATGCCATTTTATATAAGGGACTTGAACATCAAGGAGTTTGGTACCATGAGGGATCCTAGAACCAGTCCCCACAGATACAGGAGGGTGACTGTACTAGAAAAAGCCATGCTTCTCCTAACGATCACACTTTCCCTCCCTGCCCGTTACTGGCCATTCAGCCATGGCATATATTTCGAGTATGACTTTATCTCTCCTTGTCCTTGTTCTCTTACTTTTTTTACCCTATGCTCTGGTTTTATGTATGTACATACACATTGCTAGCTTGTTTTTTGTGCATCTATGTGTGTGTGTGTGTGTGTATATATATATATATATATAAACACACATTTTTCATAAGACAGCAGACTATAAGTAAACAACACACAATAAACAACTGCCTTCTTTCTAATTGGGCAAATCAGACAACCTGTCTGAACCTCAATTTCAGCTTCTGGGTGTTGCTTGCGGTTTAGGGTGGACCATGTGAGTGGCGTGTTGACCCTGTCCCACAAGCGGTGGGGAGCTCCGGGGCTGTGCAGGGCTGGGCCGAGGAAGCAGGAGGGAGGAGGCATCTGCTGTCTCATGTAGAGTAGGCTGAACCATGTTGAAATCAGATCCAAGTGTAGAGAAAGAAACCCTCCCTACAGTGGAGATTCTACTTGTACCCATGAAATACAGGTCGATGTTCGCTGTAAATAAGGGCATTGTCACTATTTCTCACTCCCTGCCTTACACTATCACTCCACACGCATCCCTCTGGTATCCCCACCCTGTTTGGGAAGTAAAAGCTTAGGTGGTTTGAGCCGGATGGGTCTTAAAGACCTTGGAGTCCAGTCTCATCTCTGCACAGAGCCCCCCACACCACACCCTTCAGCAGGGAAGGCTGGGCTGGGGGCAAGGCCAGTGCTCGTCCGCTGCTCTGCAGTGGTGAGTAACTAGATGGGTCAATTGCTTCTTCAGCACATCTTTCACTCATTCATCAAAGAAAAAGGATACTCCCTTCTTTGCTTTTCTCCTGGACATTCTCCATTCCAGGCAGAGCCGACGCTACACGTCGGAAGAGCTGGAGAGAGGGGAGATACAGCATGAGCCCCCTGTCCTCTGCCCGCCTTTCCCTCCTGCTCCCTCTGTGTCTCCACCCTCTCGCCTCTACTCTTCCTGACCTTGGGCTTTACTATCCTGCCTGTCCCACGGACCGTGTCCTGGAGAGCAGGGCTGCATCGACTTTGCTCTCCCCAACCCCAGCGCTTCTCACCCAGCAGGCTGGCCAGAGGGTCACAAGGAACTGAGCATGGGTCATGGTGACTGAAAGGGACCTACCTCAGTGCAGATCGTGATCTAGACCCCGGGAGACAAGCCCTGAGGAGGGCTTCTGTCCCACTGCCCACATAGGGACCAGGTGTGGGGAACCAACTTCCCACCTGCCCTAGAAACCAATGACGTTCTCCTGCAAGTTCATGGGCATGGAGGCTGCTGGGCACTGGAGCCAGGGCCACACAGTCACAGCAGAGAGAGACTTTTCTGAGAGAACAACACAGGAGTGTGAAGGTAATATTGTGGGTTTGTTTGGGTATGGGTGTGTGATGTGTATACTGTGTGGAGTGTGCGTGTGTGGTGTCTGTGTGTGTGACCCTATATAAGTGTGTGGGGGACTGTGTGTGCAGTGTGCATGTGCACGTGGGTTTTTGTGCATGTAAGTGTGTAAGTGTGCATGCGAAGAAATGTGTGTGAGGTGTGTGTGCTGGGGCAGGGGTGCACAGGGGTGTCAGGTAGGTGCTGGAAGACATGGAACCCAGGAGGTGACATTAAGTACAGAACAGAAGTACAAGGCACCAGAAGATTCTGAAGACTCCTCCCTCTCCCCACAAACACCAACTGCAGGAACTCGGTGGGCTCTGGGCTTGTAAGTTCTCTGCTTTAGCTCTCTGAGGACAGGGCGAGTCTTATTCATGGTTTCATCCACAGCCCAGCCTTATTGGAGCACCCAGGCTTGACGAGGGCCCTATGGGAGCACCCAGGGCCGAAGGCAATGAGAGCCTGAGTGTTTGTGAAGTCACTGGTCAGTCTGCCTGCCAGTGTGGGGCCCCGTGGGCAGGCTGCAGACAGGGCTCCGGAGTGGGGCAGGCAGAACCAGGCAAGGGTGCAGAGGGCCTGGGTCACTCCTCCTGAGCTTTCCTTCCTGGCCTTGTCCCAGGTAGCCCTGCTCCATCTGTCTAAACATCAAAATGGTCACAGCTTCTGCCAACGGCCAAGCTGACAGTTAGAAGGCAGCTCTTGGGGGTCACATGGGGGTCTCTGAGAGTAGATATGATCATGTTTAGGGTCTAGGAGTCTGCACTGCATGGAGACTCCTATGAACCAGACAGAGTTTCAATTGACCACACTGAACTCCACTCAGACCATTATGTGGCTTCTAGAGCATTCTAGGAAGGGAGCAGCATCTCCCTGACCCTACCACTAGTGCAGGGCTACCTGCCCTTTGCTTCCCTGGCCCCATGGCTTTCCATTAGGGTGCAAAGAGCAGCAGCCCAATGTCTCCTGTATGCCTCAGGGATGGGTAGCTCCCTCCTGCAGGAGCTGCCACAGCAGCCCCAGCCTTACACTGAAGGAGGCTGGGAAGGGGTTGAGAGCGAATGGAGCCATATTGCAGTCACTCTAATTGGGGGGACACTGAGTCCTGGACCTTGGGGATCCCACTTTGTCTCTTCTACTCCTCTGCCACCTTCCCCACTGCCACTGGCACTGTCCAGGTGGCATGAGTCTTCACTGTATCCAGGCCAAGTGCTGCATGAGCAGCTTGTCTAGAGTTCCTAGGCACCAATGGGAGCCGCAGGCAGAAGTGATACCCCAGCCAAGCCATGCTCCTCACTCAGTATCGCCTCCCCAAGCCACAGGCACCCCTCCTGCCACACCTTTACTCATGCTGTGCCCCTTGCCTGGGATGCCCTCCCTCCTCGTCACCTCTCCAAGTCCTCTCCTTCTTGGAGGTGGGGGCTCCTAACCTTGTGTGAACCACAGACCCCTCTGGCAGTCTGGTGACACCTACACACTCCTAAGCGTGTGACATCAATTCCACAGGAGAATAAAGAAAACCACTTAGTATGGAAATACACTTCTAAAATCTTTAAAGATACACAGTGGTTCAACAGCAAGAGCTGGCAGTGTGTGTAAGAACCTCTGTGATACTGAAGTAGTGATGGGTGTCAAGTTCAAGATACCAAAACACTGTAAGGTGATAAAAACACAGCTGTGATCTCTGTGATAAAGCCACAGGGGCTGCTGCTGTGACAGTCTCGCTGCCTACATTCATTGCTGAAGGTTAACAACACTAAAGAGCACTTAGATGTTAGTGCCGATAAAGCTGTAGTTTTTCCAACCCTAGTCTGTTGACCTGCTGAATTGCATCTTCGGATTCCTTGGGTTCTATGGACCCTCTACGGCTCCTCTGATGATTCTGCTTCACCAGGCCTGTCCCCTGAGAGCTCCAGGGCACCACGGGTGGGCTCCTTTCTCCAAGCCTGCCTGGCCCTCCAACCCCTGAGCTCTTGCCAAGCATAAGGCATGAACCCCTGCACCCACATCCGTAGTCAGGTAAGACCCTAGGGAAACGATGCTTCTCTCAGCCACCTGGAAGTGGGTGACTGGACACTCACACACGTGCTACAGGGGTCATGTGGCTGGCTGCTGTACAGTGCCTCATGATGACATTCTCCGGATACCCCCTTCCCTCTCGCATGAGTTACCACCTCTTGGGGGAAGTTCACTCCTCATGAGGTGGGTTTCTGGGCGCTGACTGGCTGCCCCAACCCAGTCACTAGCCCACTGGGTAGAGGCAGGACAGAGCCCGAGGCTGACCATGCCGGAAGCCGCATGTGGGCCCCGCGGCCAAGCAGGGCCAGGGCTCAGCGCCAGGTGCACCCTACCTGCTTCACGTTGTAGCCGGTCTTCGCGCTGGTCTCGATGAACATGACGCTCAGCTCTTTGGCGCGCTGTTCCCCCTCCTCAATGGTTATCTGCCTGCAGGTGAGGGGAGAGGCAACATCAAGTTAGTAGAGAAACAGCCCCTGGGAGAGACTGAGGGAGCAGCCTGAGATGAGGGGGTTTGCCCAGCAGGGCTGGGGAGCTGACCAGGATGCAGGGGGCACAGGGCACAGCCGGGCACACAAGCCCCTTCTCTACTCCCTCTGTAGTATCTTCCCATTGAAGAGCAGGCCCTGGGGCAGGCCCATACCAGCCTTTCCTAACAGTCACCACTGCCAGAGATTACATCTGTAAAGTGTTTCAAGCCACATACCACCTCTGGATGGTGTCATCAGTCCCATTTTCCAAATGAGAACACTGAGGTTAAAAATGACTGCCCAAGTCACCTACTTAATAAAGGAGCTAGGTTTTGGGCCCCATTTTCTTCACTTGAGAAGAGGATTCTGATAAGTAAGCTCTAATTCAGATAATTCCTTAAGTGGTCAGAGTGTATTTCAGGAAGCCCACAGTCCATGACCTACCACTTTATCTAACCAAATTGGGTCCCATGAGATAAGTGGACAAATGTATGTACGTGGCCCCTAAGTCAGCCCTGTGCCCTGGAGCTGCCTCTTCAGAGAAAGTGTCACACCTAGACACAGTGCCAGACCAGACAATCTGAGGTTAGCACACGGGCCCAGGACCTTCATACTCACACCCACAATGGTGTGGGCATTTCACTGGGACAGAGACACAAAGCACAAGCAGAAGTCAACAGGAGCCCAAGAGATTGCTGTGCCTGCAGCTGTGTTATTGGTTGTAGCCAGATCCCAGGCCACACAATGCTGGGCTGGGCCAGGTGCACGGGGCTCCATGCAGACCATGCACGGAGGAGTGCCCATGAAATGCCCCTGACAGCAGTGTGAGGTGGGGTGACATGGGCAGGGACCTACCGGGGGCTTTCAAAGCCTCCAGCAACCCGACAGGACCTTTCCCAGATGCACGGAACAGGCCAAACAGAGAGGGTGCTTACTACGCATGCATCCCAGAACTCCTTGTCCCAGAGGAGCTGCAGAGGTGTGGCGGGTGGGCTCAGCCTGCCAGCCCCTGCACCTACCTCTTGTCCGCCAGGTCTGTCTTGTTGCCCACCAGCATGATGATAACATCACTGCCCCTCTCCGTCCTGACGTCATCGATCCACTTAGAGGTCTGCTGGAAGGAGTTGAGGTCTGGAGGTGGAAAGTGGGGATAGAACTGGGAGTGAGATCCAGCTCCCCCTGTGAAAGGGGAAAGGTGGGAGGGAGCAGGAGGGACGGCAGCATGCACCCCTCAGACGCCCGGGAGGGGCTCCGGGCCTTCCACAGGACGCGCATGTGTGTTTGTGGAGCTGCTGCCCCAGGGTCCTGGAGAGCCCCTTGCACTGCTGAGCCACCCTCTGGGGGAAAGAAGTCACCCGTCTGGAAGGTCAGTGTCATGATTTCCTACATGGACTAGTGGTTCTAGAGACCCATCTGAGAGTCAGACCTGACTTTGGGGGCTCAGAGCAGAGTGAAAATGGGCGCACTGGACTCGGCTGTGCTTGGAAACAGTGGAGGGGGTGGGGGCACAGCAGCCCCTAGGGAAGGACGGCCTACGGAGCGGACTCTTACCAAAGGGAGCTCAGGGGAGCTCAGGGGGCTCGGGAAAGGCCAGAGGGGATTCCAAAAAGGACCCTAGGGTCTCCAAATAAGAGGAGGGGGAAGGCAGGCCCAGGAACAGAAAAAACAGGAGCTCAAGGCCATTTCAGGGCAACTCTCTCCTCAGGCAGAAGAGGTCAAAGACCTCGAAGAGGAGCAGTCACAGGGCAATGCCCCACCTCAGCAGCCTGCACACCCAAGGGGAGGCACAGTGGCCTGTTTCCTGCAGCCTGATCTCTCTTCTGCTCCATGTCAGGCTGCATGAGCCCAGCTCCCCCCTACGCTCAGAAGGGCGGGGAGCCTGTGTCAGGGAGAAGGGTGGAAAGAGGGGTGGGCAGAGCCAGGGGCAGCAGGCTGGGGCAGTGCCCTGGGTGTCCTCCCACCTTAGATGTGACTGCAGCCCACGAGCTTCCCAGGTGTGTTCCACTACACCTCCCTGGGCAGTGGCACCTGGTAGAGGGGGGCTGACCCCCAGCCCCATGAGCCTCCTTCAGGGCTGTGCAGTCACTCTCAGGGACTGAAGAGCCACAGTGTGTGAGAAGTGAAGCCACCCACAGATCTCCCAGACCTGCTCAGTCCCCCCCTTCCCAGGGAGCCCAGTGAGGAGCTGGGATGCCAGCTCACAAAACCACAGCTGCTGGGTCAAGTTGGACCAGGGACCAGCGTCTTCTCCCACCTTGACACACACGCACACAGAAGTTGCTCTGTGGGGTCTTTCTGGCAGCCAGGGCCAGCGAGGGACTGGAAGCAGGGCCAGCCTTGAGAGCATCTCTGCTCACTTCCAAAGGCCCCTGCTCTGAGCAGGACCAACCTGCACACCCATGACTGTCGCAGGAGGGCCTGGGAAGGTGGTATTCAAAGGCAACTCAGCCCCCACCCTCGAGCACCTGCCTTACTGCATTCAGAGGATAAGCGTGTGCACACACACACAGAGGCTGCAGCCTGGCTGGGGCTCCACTTGGGTCCTGGAGCCCCTGTGAGCCACCTTCCCTCTGACCCCCAGGACCCACACTTACTTGTGATGTCGTACACCACCACGGCCACCGTGGAGTCCCGGATGTAGCTGGGGATCAGGCTGCGGAACCTTTCCTGGCCCGCTGTGTCCCAGAGCTGCAGCCGCACCTGCAGGGAGGGCAGGGGGTCAGCAGGGGCAGCGAGGTCCACATGGTGGGATCGGGGCTGGGGTGAGGTCCTGGTTCTGTGATGCTGGCACTGCCAGCTCTGGGGCAGGCGCTGGCTCTCAGTGGCTCCCAGCTAAGAGTCCAGGTGATAAGCCCAAAGGAGCCCCACCTCTCCTCCCAGTTCTAAAGTCAGGCTCTCACCGTACGATCTTCCAAGTACATGGTTTTTGACAAGAAGTCAATTCCAATGGTTGCCTGTTAAAGAAAAGCACAGAAAGGTCAAAACTGAAAGGCCTCAGGCAAAGGGGCTAAAGCTCAGTAATCCAGGTGGTGACAGCCAGAAAAATGGGGGACACTCATGTCAAGCTTGGGGTGGGTCCTGCTCTGTTGTCCCTGGTCCTCACCCTCTCAACAGTGAACCTTCTCACCCCTCTCAGAGGAAGTGAGTCTGAGCTAAATCAGGTGAGGTCAGGGTTTTTAGGGAGTGATATAAAAGGGAGGGAGATGAGAGTGCTGGGTGAGAAGGCTTCCCCAGGAACAAGGCCAGAGGGCAAGCTCTGGAAGAATGAACATCATCTCAGGGCTTGAGATTACTAAGGGAAAAACCAACAGAGATCTAGGGTAGTAAGCAACCCTTCAAAAAAAAAACCCAAAACTAGCTACATGTAATTTAATTGCCTATTAAAATAAAACTCAATACAGTTCAGAGGAAAGTAAGAGAATCCAAGAATCTCTACTACTTACTATTCACAATCTCCCCTACACAATAAAATAGGATTAGACACGTAAAGAAGCAGGAAATTCAAGCAATAATTAAGAGAGCAACTCAATAGAAACAGACCCCAGATGACCCAGATATTGGATTAGCAGACAGGACTTTAAAATAACTGATATAAATGTTAAAATATAAAGGAAAAGATGAATATGGTGGGTTTCAAGAAATACAAGAAAATGCTAAAAAAAAAAAAAAAAAAAGGTAATCTTAACACTANCCAGATATTGGATTAGCAGACAGGACTTTAAAATAACTGATATAAATGTTAAAATATAAAGGAAAAGATGAATATGGTGGGTTTCAAGAAATACAAGAAAATGCTAAAAAAAAAAAAAAAGGTAATCTTAACACTAAAAAATATAATACCTAAAACAAAAATACATTGAATTCAACAGGAACCAGGACACTGTCAAGGAAAGGTCAGTGAACTTGAAGACGGCAAAAGAAATCGTTCAAACTGAAGTACAGAGAGAAAAAAAGATGAAATAAAAGTGAACACAGGACCAAGAACTTCTAGGACAATATCAAGTCATCTGATATTGATGCAATTAGATTGTTATAAAAAGAAGAGAAACAAAATCAGCCAAAACTGTTTTTGAAAAAACACTGATCAAAAATTTCCCCAATTTGATTAGAAACACCAACCCATAGTTCCAAGAAGCTCAGTGAACCTAAAACAAGATAAATACAAAGAAAACCACACCCAAGCATGTCATAGTCAAATTGCTAAAAAAACAAAACAAACAGAAAGCCTTACTAGCAGCAGGAAATAAAAAAAACACATTATATACAAGGAAACAATGATGAGAATGATAATTGATTTCTCATCAGAACAATTCAGGACAAATGACAAGGGAACGAATCTTTAAAGTTCCAAAAGAAACAATAACCATCACGTCAACCTAGAATTCCATAGCCAGTGAAAATTTCCTTCAACAATGAAGGCAAAATGAAAACATTTTCAGATAAGGGAAAGCTGTGATAATTTGTAACCAGTGGGCCCTCATTACAGGACATGCTTTAGACTGAAGGGAAATTTTACAGATGGAAATTTGAATCTTTAAAGAAGGAATATAAAAGCACCAGAAATGGTAAATGTATGGGTAAATACAAGAACACGTGACTTGTCCTTGATCACCTCCTGCTTCCATCCATATCAGCAATAGTTCGTAACATCCTCCCCTCTGTTTCGCCCCTGCTACATCCTCAGCACAAATCACTCCCAGAGGATGACCTCAAATCCTACCTTACAATAGGAGGTGTGAATCACTTCAATTCCTTGGTTTTACGCTCTGATATAATAACAGTGGTAACCACTGTAACAATGACTAAACATCTGGGTACTTACGGTTTGCCAGCTATTGTGCTAAGTGCTTTACATGCACTATTTAATTCTGACAAGCTATGTTAGGGGTTATGTTCGTTAGTATTCATATGTCACTGGTAAGAAAACTGAGTACCAGAGATGTTGAGTTACTTTCCTAGAGTCAACGCTGGAAGGGGCGGAGTCAGGATTTAAAAGATATTTGCAAAGTTGTCTACATGTGCCCAGCCTTATCCCCACATCCCTCCAGGCTTTGAGTATGTGCTCCTTCTCCTGTTCAAAGCAAGTCTCTCCTTTTTTCTTTTCTTTTTCTTTTAAATATATCTTTATTGATTTCAGAAAGAGGAAGGGAGAGGAAGAGAGAGAGAGAAACATCAATGATGAGTCATTGATCTGCTGCCTCCTGCACGCCCCCTACTGGGGATCGAGCCCACAACTCGGGCATGTGCCTTGACTGGGGACCAGGAATCCAACCACGATCTCCTGGATCCTCGGTCGATGCTCAACCACTGAGCCATGCCTGGCTGGGTTCTCCTTTTTTCTTGAATATGGCTTTTACTTCCTATATCTAGTAATTTTGAGTTATATCCTACATATGTGATTAAGACTATGGATTTCTGTTTGTTCCTGTGATCAAGTGTTTCTGGAAAAGGCTGCATATTCTAGCCCCTAGTGGAGAGTTATAATACACACTAGTATAGTAAAGGCTATGAGAAGTCCTGCACTGAAGAAACATGAACAATTTCATGTAACCCAATGTTTCCCAAGTTTCTTTGCCCTGGGGATCTTTGTGCTTATAATTCCTATTAACATCCTAGTGTTCCCAGAACTTCAGTAAAGGCTGACCCTCAAAGAGGTGGGTTCTAAAGGAGACCAAATCTCTCTTCTAGCTTGCCTTGGAGTCTTGGTCAAAGCATTCATTCTTTGCACTTCATTTCCACTTATGAGGTATAGGGTAAATTATTATTGCTAGTAACTATGCCACAGGGATGTAAAGAGGGTATCAAGACAAATGAGCAGCAGGCTTGACTTTGGGGACTCTCCTGCCAGTCCACGATCCCCACAGTCCTCCCCTCCACCCCTTAGCAGTGCTGCATGAGCCTCTTGTATTGACTGATGCCCCTCAGAGGAGGCTGGGCTGCACTCTGCTGTGATTAGATTGCCCCAAACCTAGCCATGCTTATTTATTCCTTTAATATCATGTTTGCAAACTGTACTGCTTATGAAAAACGGCAGGCACTTCATTTTATACAAAACCTGAGGAACGTAACAAGCACAGATTTCACGGCCACACCCACATTTATCTTCTGAAGGTGGTATTAACAGTGTCAACAGGGGCTCAGGCACATAGAGCAGACAGTACATTACACGCCTCCCTCTGCACAAAAGCTTCCATTGGCCCAGCGGATCCCCGAGGAAAGAGATGTTCCCTGAGGCACTTGTTGAAATCTTTGCTACGTACATTTATTATGAAATATATTTTGCATCCACATTCTGACAAGACACAGTAATAAAGTCTGCAGCGGAAATTTGCATGGTAATTTGCATAAATTGACTCAAGACTCCCTTCTCAGGAAGAGAAATCATGAAAAGGAGTGTATGTGTGTCTTTTTTGTAGCCTTGGCCAGGCCTTGGCCATGGCTGGGGAAGCATCCCTAAGTGGCAGAAAGCAGCTGGGCCTGACAAGCCCTTCACAATGAAACTGCTGTTTGTGCTCCACACCACCAACCATTAGATGAGAGTATCAGGGTAAAGTCATGCAAATTAGCATGCAAATGAGGTTGGCAAACTTAAGGATTCAGACTGGCAAGTGGGTGCTGTGGGGAAGGAGACAGCGGCCTCTGGCAAACATGCTAGGCAGGGTCTATCCTTGCCAGCAGCTATGGGCTCTGGAGGAGGGGATGCTAGGTATGAGGCCAAGGCACAGGTACCTAGATTCTTTCAAATAACTCAGTTTCAAAGTCTACAGNTGGGCTCTGGAGGAGGGGATGCTAGGTATGAGGCCAAGGCACAGGTACCTTTCAAATAACTCAGTTTCAAAGTCTACAGAGTCCTGAGGCCACTTTCCCCTTAGTGGAGAGTGGCTTGTGCTAGTCAACAGTCAATGAAATATTTACTGATTGCTTTTATTTCCTGTGATCTGAAACATCAACTAAACAATATGCACCTTCCAACATTAAATAAAGGGTTACATTTCATCGAAGTCAGTCAATCCCTTCAAAAGCCACAGATGCCCAGGGATGTATGGCCCAAAGTTCCCTGAGAGGGTCACATGTGGATCCAAGTGCACAAGCCCTGTCCTTAATAATTAGGGCAAAAGATGCTCCAGGGGGTGGACCTTTGAGGTTGTCCAAGAGCTACCTGAGTACAACCTAAAAAGTGAATTAGGAAGGATTATTAAAATGCATGGCAGAGAATTACATCATGGGTCCATTTAACTTATGAAATGCAGCAGGTCATACCGGGGACTCACCCATGATCCAACTCACCCATTATCCACTGGCAACCTCTTACTCCCTTGCTTGCCTAGAGACTGTAAAAGTGAAATTCTGCTTTCCTAGCCTCCCTAGAGGCTAAGGGTGATGATGTGACCCAGTTCTGGCCAATAAGACGTTAGCCGCAGCCTGCTGGAGGGAGAGGGCATTCTAGGGAAGCTCTTGCTTCCTTTTTCTGCCTTGGATGCAGAGGTGCTGTCTGGAGCTGCAACAGCCAGCCTTCGTGAAGAGAACCCATACAGCAAACAGGCGGAGCAGAATGAGAGCAAGGGCCTGGGCTCCGATGGCATCACTGCACAGCTGTACCAGCTCAGCTCTCACCACAACTCCCTGCACCTGGGAAACCAAAGCCTTGTTTTGTTTAAGCCACCATTAGTCAGCTTTCTGTACAGGTGACCATATTCCTAATTTGTATGTGCTCATCAGAAGAAGGGAGGGAGGGCAGAGGAGAGGAGGGAGGAAGAGAAAAGGTGTCTGAGCAAGGGCAGGTCTGCCCTCCACCCTGGTCCAGGTAACATCTACAGGGAGCACTTGGATGAATGGCAGTGCCCGAGTGAGTCTGAGGGCAGGGTCATCTCACCAAGCGGATTGACATTTGGGGGCATCCCACCCTGGGCCCTGTGCACTGACTCGCTGCTTGTCTAACTGTACCTCCTCTTCACGGCGAAGCCCCAGGCCCCTCCCAAGCCCATCAGAGGGGCCCCTCTCTCCTGGCTCTCCCTCCACTGCTGCGAGCTCTGTGAAGGCTCATTCATCTCCTTCCAGTGGCTCATTGACAAAAGGTGCTCAGCATCTTATTTCCAAAGGCCCCACCCCTTTCTTGTTCCCTGGCCCCAGCATTAGGGGGGACCAGAGGCCAGTGTGCATGAGTGTGGGTGTGTTCAAGGAGGACTGACCCATACGCAGGTCCCTTTCCTCACTGAACCCCTCTTTAGCCCGCCAGCAAAGGCAGTGCAGGGGCATTTTAGGTATGAGGCTTGGCTGCCCAAGCCTGGCAACCCCCAGACGAGCTGCCCGAGTCTGGCTGGACAAGTATTAGTAAAACTTGCTGCCCCAGAAAGAGTTTAGAGCATCAAACCCCACACAGGACAAAGCACAGCTCTCCACAACACCAGGATCCTTGCAATTTCCCATCTGGAGCCCCTGGGCTGTGGCCCAGCGGGAGCCCAGCTCCTCTGAAAGACAACACCCTACTGTTGCACTGTCGGGTTGAATCATTAGGGGTGGAGACAGACACTGGCCTGGGGGATGCAGCGCAGAGGGATGGGCCACAGAGTCAATGACCAGGCCTCAGTGAACCTACTTACTTTATTAAATCAACTCACAATGTTTCACAAAGAAACGGGTGATCATATTGTAAAACCTCGTGAGAACAAAAGACATGCTACAGAGACATGTCCTGGGGAAATGGCTTCCCAGGTTGGATGCAGCTCGAGAAGGGCT